CCCGAGGGACTGGGGCAGCTGAGCGGGGAGGCAGCAGAGCTGGGAGCAGCTGTCACAGCTCCCGAAGCCCAGCCAAGCCCAAGCGACTGCGTTCCCCAGCCCCAGGGTTCCAGCACGGCTTCAGCCAAGTGCCCCTTCTCACCATCACGGGATCCTGGCTGAGCACCAGGAGGCCTCGGAGCGCCAGGCGACGCCTCTCTGGGCACCCACTCCGCAGGTGCCTTGCAAGGCTCTGCAGAATGCTGTCTCCCCAGTCACTCATGTCCAGCTCGTCCAGGACCTGAAAGGCGCAGAACAGTGACGGGGTGCCCGGTTGGCAGGAGCCCAGACCCACACAGGGCTGGGCCCTCCAAGAGGGCAGAGAGGTGGAGGCAGCTCGGCCAGGCAGCGCTCGCCATCAGGCTCACCTCCACAAGGAATGCCACGGCGAGGACCTCCAAGTGGGGCTCCTCCCTGCTCAGCAGCTCCAGCAGGTGGAGTGTGATGCGGGAACACAAGGGGCTGGAGACACGGCGCATCTCCCTGCCAGGGGGAAAAAGGCACCCATTGACCCTGAGCCCCGTGGGCAAACCTCTCCCGGGATGGACTCACAGAGGCCTGGTCTTTCCCCAGGACAAGGGCACTCTGGGAGGCGGCTCCTCCTGTGCACCCGCCTCTCCCAGCCTTTGCCACTCTGCTTGGCCATCCCTCAGTGACAAGGCCCTCTGGCCCATGACCACGGGCACTGTGTGGGGTGCCCCGTGCACAGGCAGAAATGACAGGGGCAGCAGGGACAAGGGGGTCTCACCTGGCCAGCAGACCCACCGCGTAGTGGTGGGTGTCGGTGCTGAGGAGCGTGTCCCAGCCGCGCTTGCGTTCCATTGAAACCACAACTTCCTCACACTCCAGATGGCAAAGCAGGGCCTTCGTGATCAGCACTGCAAACCTGTGTGCAGAGCAAAGCCCAGGTCATGCCGGGAGCCCTGAGCCAGTCCCGAGGGCACAGAAGGCAGAGGAGGACTGGGATGGAGCACCTGTTGGGCTCGGTGGGAAGGTTGTGTTGCTCCCGGCATCCCCTCCAGAAGGTGTCGACCTCCTCTGGCATCTGCTCTGTGCTGATGACAACTTGGCAGAGCAGAGCCACGAGGAGACGGGGGGAATACTCTATCAATGACTCTGCAAACCGGAACATCTGCAGAATCTCCCAGATCACCCTGGTTGCCTGCAAAAGATAAACCCCCCGGACACAGCTCTCAGTGCCCAGATGTCCATGTGGCAGGGCCCGAGCGCGGGAGGGAGAGGCCAGGGAGGATGCAGGGGGAGCAGCTGGCCTGGTGCCCCTGAACCTGCCCCTAACCTACATTTCCAGCCCAGTGCCTGAGGCAGGGAGATGCAGTGCTGGGGGAGGATGGAGAGCCACCGGAGAGGTGACCTGGGGGGGAGCAAAAGCCCTTTCCAGAAACTCACAGCCAGGGCAAAGACATCTGTTTCGTCCCCGTCAGAGGTGGACATGCCGTGCAGTGGCCAGTCCTCCATCACGGAGAGCAGCTCTGGCAGCACCTTCACCACTGTCCTTCCAGATGAGGTGATGGTCCTCCACATGATGGCAGCAGCTCTGCGGGACCAGAGTTCTGTGTCAGGGGGGTTGCCTTGAGGAGCAGGGAGGGAGCGTGGCAGCAGGATCGGGGCTGACATGACAGGGCTGGGAAACAGAGGGGCCAGGGGGTCCTGGAACTCTCCGTCCCTCTGGCAGACCACGTGGGACGGGATGGACAGAGTGATGGGCTCTAAAGGCTGGTGTGCCCCTAGCCCCGAAGGCAGAGGGTCCTGTACCTGTCACATGATGGGGCACAGCGCAGGAGGGTCACCACAGCATCAGCAGGGTGTTCTTCAGTCACCCTCAGAAACTCCGCCAGCACCTTCTCTTCTGGAGTCGCGCTGGCTGTCAGTCTCTGGTGCATGTCTCTGACGAAGGCTGGCACCTGGAGGAGGCAT